GGGTCTAAGACTAAAAACCTTAAAAAGACCCATTGCATTCTGTCAATTAGATGGGTCGATTGCAGGAGGGGGCCCATCTAGTTTTATGACTGAACCCCTTGAATTGCAGTTGGGGAATCATGTAGAGAATCTCAGATTTATTGTGGCCCCTGGCATGGAGAGACCCCTCATTCTAGGACTGCCCTGGCTTCGAAAATGGAACCCACGGGTGAATTGGAAGATGGGGGTCCTGCGCATCTGCATGGCAGAACCGAATCCGGAGAAGGAAGGCTCCCCCTTGAGGGACGACATAAAACCAGAAAGGGCGGCAGTAGCTATTGACTATATTGAGGGAGAAGAGAAGATTCCAAAGGAATATTGGGATCTCAAGGAAATCTTTAGCGAAAAGGCATCGGATGCTCTGCCTCCCCACAGGGCTACCGACTGCACCATTGAAATACTCTCTGGGGTGAAGCTTCCCAAACCAAAAATTTACCCCATGACACCTCGAGAATTAGGGGAATTGTGAAATTTTATTGACAAGAACCTAGAACGGGGATTCATCGAACGAGCCAAACCCAAGGTGGCGGCGCCAGTAATGTTCCGCGAAAAGAAAGATGGATCCTTTCATTTGGTGGTCGATTATAGAAATATCAGCGCTATTTGCGTAGAAAATGTCTACCCCCTCCCACTTATGAAGGACATGTTAGCCCATTTAGGGAAGGGAAAAATTTTCACCAAACTTGATTTAAGAGAGGCATACTACCCAGTGAGAATAAAAGAGGGGGATGAATGGAAAACAGCATTTAATTGCCCACTGGGATGTTTCCAGTTCAGAGTGCTTCCTTTTGGACTACAGGGAGCCCCTGCTGTATTCATGCAGTTAATCAACGAGTATTGCATGAGCACCTGTATAAGGGGGTGTTGGTCTACTTGGATGACATTCTGATCTATTCTGACAACATGGCCGACCATGTAAAATTGGTGCGGACAGTCTTGAAGAAACTCAGAGCTGCTGAACTCTATGCCAAACTTTCTAAATGTGAATTCCACCAAGACAAAATCGACTATCTTGGATATCGTATATCGCATGAGGGAATAGAGATGGACCCTGAAAAGGTTCGGGCAGTGTTGGAATGGGCCGCACCACGCACCCGTAAACAATTACAGAGCTTCTTGGGGTTTGCTAACTTTTATAGACAATTTATCCCCTCGTTCGCAAAAATTGCACTACCAATTACAGACTTGCTAAAAATGAAAGGGGAAGTAAAGCCCAAACCCTCGAAACCACTGGAATGGACTATGGACTGTCAAGCCGCTTTCGAAAAATTGAAACGGCTGTTTGCGCCTGAACCAGTGCTCAAACACCCAGACATGGAACAACCTTTTGTAGTACAAGCTGACGCCAGTGACGTAGCTGTAGGAGCAATACTCTTGCAAAAGAATGAAAAGGGGGTATTACAACCCTGTGCCTACACGTCCCGTAAACTATCAGAAACGGAAAGGAGATGGGCCATATGGGAGAAGGAGGCTTTTGCAGTTAGATGGGCGCTGTTAACATGGAGACAATTTTTAGAAGGAGCGAAGCACCCTTTCGAAGTTTGGACTGATCACAAGAATTTAGAGGCGTTAAAAACACCACGCAAACTGTCACCTAAACAGGCTCGTTGGGCCCAACATTTCAATCGTTTCAATTTCACCCTACGTTAACTTCCTGGTGGAAAGAACTTCATGGCGGACGCACTTTCCAGATTGCCTCAGTACAACAGCATCAAGAAGGAGGTGGTTCAACCTATGATCCCCTCGACACAATTGGCAATACCTGCTACTACCAGAGCGCAGGCAAAAACCGAGCCAGAACTCTCGGAGGATTTACTCAAAAAATTGCGAGAAGCACTAGAAACTGACGAGTGGTTTAAGAACCACTCGAATGAATGTACACTTCGTGATGGACTAGCTTGGATTGGATCGAAATTGTATGTTCCGACCACATTAAGAATAACCGTATTGAAATATGCCCATGATGCCAAGGCCGCAGGATACTTTGCATTTGTTAAGACTCTACATCTTGTTAAGAGGCAATTTTGGTGGCCTGCACTCAAAAAAGACATAGAGGCATATGTGGCTAGCTGTCCAGTATGTGCCTCGGCTAAAAGACCTCCAGGAAAATCCCCTGGATTACTTCAAGGTGTGGCTAGACCGAATGCCCCATGGAAAGAAATATCTATGGATTTTATTGTGGACCTACCAGAGAGTGAAGGCTGCACTGTCATTTGGGTAGTAACAGATTTGTTTTCCAAACAAGTACATTTCATCCCTTGCTCAAAGATCCCTTCAGCAAAAACCCTTGCAAAACTATTTATTCGGCAGATTTACCGGCTACATGGAGCTCCAAAAAGAATAATTTCTGACAGGGGTGTGCAGTTTACTTCCAGTTTCTGGAAGGAGTTTTTGAAGTTGATAGGCTCCGCCCAGGGGCTGAGTTTCAGTCACCACCCTCAAACAAATGGGGCCTGTGAAAGAACCAATGGGGTTCTAGAACAATACCTGAGGTGTTACGTAAATTACCAGCAAGACAATTGGGTAGACCTGTTGCCATTTGCAGAAGTGGCATATAATAATTCCATACACAGTAGCACCGGTTTCACTCCTTTTAAGGTTGCATCGGGCCAAGATTTCGTACCCATTCCCGAGCTACCACAAGATGATCCCCAGAATCCCTCCTTGATGGATTAGATTGAACAATTAAAGAGCACATGGGCAGTAACTCGGAAGGCATTAGATGAGGCACACCGGGCCCATAAGGCGCAAGCCGATAAGAAAAGGTCCCCAGCTCACATCTATAAAGTGGGTGATAAAGTCTACTTGTCTACTAAATACTTACAGACTACCCAGAAGTCAAAAAAGCTGGGCCCTAAGTATGTGGGACCATTTAGTGTGATTAGACTGATTAATCCAGTAACAGTTGAGTTGGACTTACCAAAAACACAGGGTATACACCCTGTATTTCATGTTAGTTTATTAAAACCTGAACACTCGTCTCCCCTAAGGGCTGACCAAAGCTCCCCTCCAGTTCCCATTCTCATAGAGGGGGAGCAACATTTTGAAGTTAAGGAAATCTTAGACTCTAGGAAACACCATGGTAAAGTCCAATATCTGATAGCCTGGAAACATTTCCCTTTGTCTCAGGCTGAATGGGTAAATAAACGGGATGTCCGAGCTCCCAAGAAAGTACAGCAATTCTATACCAAATACCCAGATAAACCATAATTCTTGTATATACTTTGTTTTTCTCTCTCCTGTTCTTTCCTCTTATCTAGGAATAACGTCTCTTCTGCAAGAGGGGCCGAATGTCAGCCTCCGCTTTGCCTGCTTCAGCTGCCATAAGAAACGGGAGGGGAGGGACCAGTTAAGGGGGCGAGGGGGGGAAGATTGCAGGAGGTGTCTTTCCAATGCAGGAGGTGTCTTTCCAAAGAAACGAAACTGAATCTCTAAAGGGGCCGGCTGACCAACTGCCATACATTCCTGATGAATGACGTTGCCAGACGTGATTCCACCTGACCTTTGGGAGACCTTTGGATTGAATGATGATCAATGGACATGGGGGGGGGGGAGAAGCTTACTAGATGCTATTTTGCGCGTTTTGCTCACTTCCAGCTTTACCTGGGTTGCGATCATTTCATATTCAGTAAAAGTACTAATCTCTTTAAAATATGAGTTTGGGTCATTCTTTCCTGGATATTGAAGGAAGCATACCTGACAACACCGCAGTTGTCTGTTCCCACAGTTAAAGTTCTGTTTCCCTTCTATAAGGGAACCTATGCAAAACAGGACTTATGAAGTTCTGCCTTCTCATCCTCACAGCTTCCTGACATCCCCCCTATGTGGCCCTTTCTTCCTATTGAGCTCACACAACACTTTTTTTGCACCCTGAATACTGTCTTTCTATAGTATACTGGTCAATATAAAGATTAACAGAGTTGAAAGGGACCTTGTAGGTCATCTAGTCCAACCCTCCACCCAAGCAGACCCTACACCATTTTTGACAGATGGCAGTCCAGTCTCTTCTTGAAAGCTTCCAGTGACGAAGCTCCCACAACTTCTGAAAGCAAGCTGTTCAATTGGTTGCTTGCTCTCACTATCAGAAAATTTCTCCTTATTTCCAGGTTGAATAATTCCTTGTTCAGTTTCCATCCATTATTCCTTGTCTGATCTTCAGGTGCTTTGGAAAATAGCTTGCCGCCATCCTCTCTGTCTATCAACACTGCTATCATGTCTCCCCCAGTCCTTCTCTTCACTAGACTAGCCATGCCCAGTTCCTGCAATCATTCATCATATGTTTTAGCCTCCAGACCCTAGTCATCTTGGTTGCTCTTCTCTGAACTCTTTCTAGAGTCTCAACATCTTTTTTATAGTGTGGTAGCCAAAACTGGATGCAGTATTCTAGGTGTGGTCTTACTAAGGCTTTACAGAGTGGTATTAGTACCTCCCTTGATCTTGATTGTATCCCTCTGTTAATGCAATTTAGGATTGCATTGGCTTTTTTGGCTGCTGCTGCACACTGTTGGCTCAATTTAATCGGTAAGAGACTATGTACTCCTTCTCCTATTTCTTATTTTTGGTCCTTTTTATGTTCAGTGTTTCAGAGTTCTCTGTATCCATGATGGCCTTTGTATATTCCTCCCATTTTTACCTCTTGTCAAAATTAAGCAGCTATTGTCTTTTGGGTACCTTCCCATCTTCAGGATTTAAAGCCATTGGAACTGACCTACCCTGCTCTTCTGAAGTTCTGTATGCAGACCTGACTCTTCTTAGTACCTCATCTGCTACATATTACAATTTCTGGACTGCTGGTCTCTTATATATAGGCGCATAGACTCACACATGTCAATGCACAACATCTTACTCCCTTTCTGTATTTTTTCAATATGCTTAACCTAAAAGCATAAAATGTGATGGATATGATAAAGCTGATTATCACAGGCAGCTTATTTTCTATTTTTCTATTTCTTTGATTGTAGATTGCAGTAATCATATAGTTGGTGTTGAAGGAGAAGATATTGTTTTGTCACCATCAGTTGCAGGCAGTGGCAACCTAACAAGAATTTATTGGAAGAAAGGAGAAAATATAGTGGCTAACTCCTGGTTCAGTTTTCCTCCTGGAAGAAAAAACAAAGACTGAGTCTTGATTCTTCCTCTGGCAAGTTGATTCTCAAAAACCTTTCAAAAGAGGATACTGGAAATTACACAGCAGAAGTTTTCATTAATGAGAAAATCGAAGAAACGTGTTTTGATCTGAAAATACTAGGTAAGCAGCAGTATGCTAGATCATTTACTAAAGAGGCATAAAAGTTCTATTTTCATTTTAAATTAACATTACATGAATGCTTACATTATCACATTGTAAAGTAACATGCCATATTCTGTATTGGTGTAATATAAAGGTATTAATAGACTTTATAACTATAGAAATGAATATTTGACATAATTGTAAAACCCAAAATAATTAAAATAGAAATTATTCACTTTGGTCAAGTCTTTTTATACTACCCATTCACATGACGGTGGTTTAGTGGTTTTATTCCCCAACAATTCCCTTCACCGAAAACCCAGAACTGTCCAGCCAAAAGCAAACCAACGGTAGTCTACAGAGCAATGGTCAATAGGTCCACAAGGCTCATTGTTCCCAAAGTTCCCAAAGAAGATAAGTACACCAGGCAAATTAAATCTGCAATAGGATTCAGGAGGTAAGAAGATTCCAGAGTCCATAAGGCACAGTCCAAAGCAAGGCAGGAATCGCAACGACCAGGAAACATGCTGCTAGGAAATGAACATGTTGTTCCCAGCATTGGTTCCATCTGTCTGCTGTGCTAAACAGCCAGGTTCTGGTGCATCCCATCAAGAGCAACAAGACAGAAAACCACTGCAGAAAAAATTGTTCTCATCTCCATTCCTAACTTATTCATTAGGTCTGAAATCAATGATTGGCTGGCAGTTTCATGTCATTTTTATGGGTTTGGATTGCAACAGAAGCACCCTTGTACAGAACATATCCAAAGTTGTGTATTTATCAGATTCAGACACTGCCCATCTCACTATCCAAATGACTCAGGGCAGTACAGATAAAACCATAAAACCATATAAAAGAGACATAATTAAAAACAGAATTAAAATGAAATGCATTTTGCCTTTGAAATACCAGTTTCTACCAGGTATTGGCCTTATCTGGTTTTTGAAATACGCATTTCAAGGTAATTACACTATGGTCTGATAAATAGCAAACATCAATATTACATTCTGTAATTTGATGCTATAAAATTAATGTTATTAAAAAATAAGTCTTAAAAAATTATGATGCATACTTGAATAAATGTATTTTCTTTTGGTGATTACATCACATGCCAGGAGTCTATTGAATACATTTTTTACATATAAGTCTTAATTGTTTCCTTCACTAATGATTGTTTTTTTAATGCCCGGCAGATAGTCGTGCAGCTAAATTAAGCTACTTGTGAACATTTAGGTCTTGGTGCTATCCCAATAGTTCATTAAAAAACAAAATCATATGCAATGAACAGTTTTATTTACCTGATGATCAAAGTCTTTGTCCACACAATCCGATAATTTAGAGTTTGAAAACACTTTGATCAGGAGAGAGGCAAAAGACATATTTTTATTTTGAGTAGAAAAATGAGTACCTATTCCAAGAAGTGCACGTGTGTGTGTGTGTGTGTGTGTGTGTGTGTGTGTGTGTGTGTGTGCGCGTGCTTGGCTATAAACTAATTTAAACAAAGCCATAGAAATACATGTAACTCAAACGTCTATTTTATTTATCACTTTGTCTTTCTCTTGCATCTTTAGTATGGCCTGATATAAACTGCACTATTAACAATGGTACCATTCAATTAAGCTGTACATCACCAAGTCAGGACCTACCTCTGACATACTCTTGGGAGAACATCAGAAATGAAGAAATCTCTGAGAAGGGTTCAGTTGTTCTGCTTCAGAGGAACCCAAGCCATTTTCAGAAAATTACATGTTATGTTATAGCTTTCGGTTCAAATGCCAGCACTTCCATCAATCTGAGTGACTGTATACCAGTAGAAGGTAGGCTTTGGGATTATTTATGGATAGTCTTTGCTTTAAAACTGTAATAAATACTGGAAAATTCATTGTTGAACAGTATGGTCATTAAGTGACTGTACCCAATTTTATGACCTTTTTTTGCTGAGTCATTAAGCAAATCACCACAGTTGTTAAACAACACATCATGTGACCATGATTTGTGACTTTCTCTGTTAGCTTCCCCCATTGCCTTTCCTTGTTGGAAGCCAGCACAGTCACAAATGACTGTGGGATGCTGAAACTGTTGTAAATGTGTGATGATTGCCACAGACCCAAATCACAATAGCATTACTGCAGAGATGCTATGACAGTTGTATGTGCGAGAACCAGTCATAAGTCATTGTTTTCAGCACTGTTGTAATGGTCAGGTTAGGTAGTCCTCAACTTATGACCACAATTGGGGTCAGAATTTCCATTGTTAAACATGACAGTTTAACAGTTGTTAAGCAAGCCACTGCGGTTGTTCAGTTAATCACAAGGTTGCTATGTGAATCTGGCTTTTCCCATTGACATTGCTCGTTGGAAGCTGGCAGGGAAGGTCACAAATGGTGATTACATGACCCTGGGACATTGCAATCAGCATAAATATATGCTGGTTGCTAAGCACCCAAATTTTCAGCATATGACCAAGAAATATTGTAATGGATTTAAGTGTGAGGACTGGTCTTGAGTCACTTTTTTCAGTGCTGTTGTAACTGAATGTCATTGAATGTTGTTTGTTGTAAACAAATGGTTGTAAGCCAAGGACTATCTGTTGTCTATGGTTTTTTTTTCAGATTTATTAAATGACTGACATTGTGGAAATGTTCAGTCACTAAATATTCATTTCCCACAATAGAAAGACAAGCTGCTATTTAGGCTAAAAGAAAATAAATAAATGAAGAATGTAAGAATCTAAAGTGAAAGGGCACATTAAAAGGAGAGGGGCTTCATCAAATAATTGAAGCTGCCATCTTGACCTGTTTGCCTCCCCCTTTCACATGGATGCTGTAGAATTGAAGATCTAAGATTCAATAGAAAAAAAATATTTCTTCAACCTGTGATTTTCTTTTCCAGTCATATTTTAAAGTATAAAAATTAATAAAGTTGAAAAAGACAAATTAGCAATGAAATCAACAGAATATTTTCAGAGCTAACAAATAAAAAGCTGCTTTCACAGAAAGGGAACTGATGATATTCTGAATATCATTACCTGAGTAGGTAATACTCAGAATATACACATCAACATTGTTATGTGCAGACACATGATAAAACATACAAATATCCTTGAAAACATACATATTTGGAACATGCAAAATATTTCTCTAAGTCCCTATCTTCATGTAAAAGTTATGTTACTTTTTTCTTTTTTCCGGAGCAAATTTTCAACTAAAACTCTGGGCTATACTAATATCCATTTACAAAAGATCCTTTTTTACGACCATTATCCCTTAATTTGGGGTAGAGTTGGGTGACTGGATGGAGTATTATGCAACTACTACATTTTTAAAAGGTTGTCAGGTGTGCTTCCTTCAAAATCCAGGAAAGAATGAGCCAAACTCCATTATTTATAGAGTAATGTACTTTTACTGGAAAATGAAATGAACGCTACCAAAGAAAAACTGAAACTAAAGCAATAGGCGCAAAAGTTGCATATAGAAAGCATCCCCTCCCACTGTCCATCATCAATCACCCAATCCAAAGGTCTCCCAGAGGTCAGGTGGAAGCACGTCTGGCATCGTCATCAATCAGGAACGCAATGACGGTTCACCCGATAGCCACTTCTGGGATTGAGTTTCGTTTCTTCAAAAATCCTCCAGCACGCTTCCCCCCACCCCACGCAGTCTATTCTCTCCCACCCATTTCTTATGGCAGCCAAAGCAGTAAGTCAGAGGCTGACATTCGGCCCCTCTGGAAAAAGACATTAGTCCTAAACAGGGAAAGAAAAGGAAGAAAAGAAAAATTGCAATACAGGCATTAAGGTTTATCAGAATATTTGGTATGAAACAACTGTACTTTCTTTGGTGCTCGGACATCACATTTGTTCACCCACTCAGCTTGAGACAGAGGAAAATGTTTCCAGGCCACCAGATATTGCACCTTACCGTGGTGCTTCCTAGAGTCTAAAATTTCTTTGACTTCAAAATGTTGTTCCCCTTCTATCAGTATGGGGACCAGAGGGGAATCTTGGTCCGGTCGTAAAGGGGACGAGTGTTCTGGTTTCAACAAGCTAACATGAAACACAGGGTGGATTCGGCAAATCCAATTCAACTGTTGGCAAATCCAATTCAACTGTTACTGGATTAATAAGTCTAGTGACCAGGAAAGGACCCACATACTTGGGTCCAAGCTTTTTTGATTTCTGTGAAGTCTGTAAGTATTTGGTGGAAAGATAAACCCTGTCATCCACTTTATACACATGTGCCGGGGACCGCTTTTTATCTGCTTGGGTCTTATGCGCTCAGTGTGCATCATCCAGGGCTTTTCGAGTTACAGCCCAAGTGTGCCGTAATTGTTCGATCCACTCAATCAAAGATGGGTTTTGTGGGGTGTCTTGTGGTAGCTCGGGGATTGGCACAAATTCCTGACCAGATGCTACCTTAAACGAAGTGAATCCGGTGCTGCTATGGATAGAGTTGTTATATGCCACCTCTGCAAATGGCAATAGGTCCACCCAGTTGTCTTGCTGGTAATTTACATAACATCTCAGGTACTGTTCTAACACAGCATTGGTTCTCTCACAAGCCCCATTAGTCTGGGGGTGGTGGGTGGAGCTTAGCCCTTGGGCGGAGCCTATTAATCTTAAAAACTCCTTCCAAAAGTTGGAAGTAAATTGTACACCCTTGTCCGAAATTATACATTTTGGAGCTCCATGTAATCTGTAAATATGACGAATAAACAGTTTTGCAAGAGTTTTAGCTGAAGGGATTTTAGAGCAGGGGATGAAATGCACTTGTTTGGAAAACAAATCCGTTACTGCCCAAATGACTGGGCACCCTTCACTTTCTGGTAAGTCAACAATAAAATCCATGGATATTTCCTTCCAAGGGGCATCCGGCCTTGCCACACTCTGCAGCAAACCGGGTGGCTTCCCCGGAGAGCTTTTAGCTGAGGCACACACCGGACAGCTAGCCACATATGCCTCTATGTCCTTTTTGAGGCCAGGCCACCAAAATTGTCTTTTAACAAAATGTAGAGTTTTAACAAACCCAAAGTGTCCCGCTGCCTTGGCATCATGAGCGTACTGTAATACTGTTAGTCTTAAACTATCTGGGACATACAATTTAGCCCCTATCCAAGCTAGACCATCACGGAGTGTACATTCATTTGAATGGGTTTTAAACCATTCGTCAGTTTTTAGGGCTTCTTGCAGTTTCTGGAGTAGGTTGCCCGAAAGGGCTGGATCGGCCCTCGCCTGCGCTCTGGTAGTCATTGGCGCTGCCAGTTGTGTCGAAGGGATGATGGGTTGAACTACTTCTTTCTTGGTACTGTTGTATTGAGGCAATCTGGAGAGTGCATCCGCCATGAAATTCTTTCCACCAGGAATGTAGCATAGAGTGAAATTAAAGCGGTTGAAATGCTGGGACCAATGAGCTTGCTTTGGTGACAGTTTACGTGGTGTTTTCAACGCCTCCAGATTTTTGTGATCAGTCCAAACTTCAAAAGGGTGCTTTGCTCCTTCCAGAAATTGTCTCCACGTTAACAATACCCATCGCACCGCAAAAGCCTCTTTTTCCCATATGGCCCATCTCCTCTCGGTTTCTGATAATTTATGAGACGTGTAAGCACAGGGTTGTAATTCCCCTTCTGCGTTCTTTTGCAGAAGTACTGCTCCCACAGCCACGTCGCTCGTGTCAGCCTGTACTACAAAAGGCTCTTCCATGTCTGGATGTTTGAGGACCGGTTCAGCAGCAAACAGTCATTTCAACTTTTCGAAAGCTGCTTGACAGTCCATAGTCCATTCAAGAAGTCGTGAGGGCCTTGGTTTTGCCTCACCTTTAGTTTTTAGAAGATTTGTTATAGGCAAAGCAATTTTTGCAAATGAGGGGATAAACTGTCTATAGAAATTTGCAAATCCCAGGAAACTCTGTAGTTGTTTGCGGGTGCGTGGGGCGGCCCATTCCAATATGGCTTGAACCTTTCCAGGGTCCATCTCAATCACCTCATGCAATATGCGATATCCAAGATAGTCAATTTTGCTTTGATGGAACTCACATTTAGAAAGTTTGGCATATAGTTCAGCAGCCCTGAGATTTTTCAGGACCGTTCGCACCAACTTCACATGGTCGTCCATGTTCTCTGAGTAGATAAGAATGTCGTCCAAGTAGACCAGGACCCCCTTAAACAGGTGCTCATACATTTTGTTACTTCGTTAATCAATTGCATAAACACAGCAGGGGCTCCCTGTAGTCCAAATGGGAGCACTCTAAACTGGAAACATCCAAGTGGGCAACTAAATGCTGTCTTCCATTCATCCCCCCTTTTAATTCTCACTCAGTAGTAAGCCTCCCGTAAGTCAAGTTTGGTGAAAAATTTCCCCTTCCCTAGGTGAGATAGCATGTCCTTCATAAGTGGTAGGGGGTAAACGTTTTCCATGCAAATCGCATTCAGATTTCTATAATCAACTACCAAGCGAAAGGAGCCATCCTTCTTTTCTCGGAAAAATACCGGTGCTGCCACCTTTGGTTTGGCAGGTCGGATAAACCCCCGTTCTAGATTTTTATCAATAAAGTTTCGCAATTCTCCTAATTCTCGAGGGGTCATGGGGTAAATTTTCGGCTTAGGGAGCTTCACACCTGGGAGTATTTCAATGGTACAGTCTGTAGTTCTGTGGGGAGGCAGTACATCCGAGGCCTTTTCACTAAAAACTTCATGGAGATCCCAATACTCTTTTGGAATCTTCTCCTCCCCTTCAATGTGGCCTACTGCCACTTCCGCCGTTTCAGGTCCTGTCCTGTCCTCTGGGGGGGGGGTTCCCTCTCTAGTCTCGGTTTTCCGATGCG